GAAACCTAAAAACTTACCCGAAGTTACGCTGAACATGCATTTCTCAATGTTTAGTTTCATCCTGTATTTCCTCAATATTTTGAATGTTTCCTTTAAATGGTCGATGTGATCCTCGACCCTTAAGGATTTAACCAACATGTCGTCGATGTATACTTTCATGGTTTTGCTGAGCTGGTTCTTAAACATCTTTGTGACTAGTCATTGATAGGTAGCTCCCGCGTTCTTCAACCCAAATGGCATGACCCTGTAGCAGTATGTTCCCCTTGTGTGTGATGAACATAGTTTTCTCTTAGTCATCTTCCTCCATGAGTATCTGATTGTAGCCTGAGTAGGCGTCTAGGAAACTCGGTAACTCATGTCATGTTGTCGCGTCGATGAGTTGGTCGATGTGTGGTAACGGGAATGAATCCTTCGGGCAGGCTTTGTTCAGGTCGGTGAAGTCCACACACATCCTCTATTTTCCATTCTTCTTTTTGAACATTACCATATTGGTGATCCACTTGGGGTATTTTGACTCCCCAATAGAGCCATTGGATACTAGTTTTCTACCTCCTCGTGGACGACCTCGTTGATGGTGGGATTGAACTTGTGTCGGATTTGCCTTACCATGGGGAGAAGGGGTCGAAGTTTAGCTTGTGCCTAGATATCTCCTTGGGGATGTCGGGCATATCTGCATGGCTAAAGGCGAACAAATCTGTGTTAGCTTTTAAAATTGACTAAATTGACATGGGTCTCAGAATTTGCAGTCGATGTAGGATTTTTTGTTGGGGTCACTGTGATCTAGTTAGACGGGATCGCGGTCCTCTATGGTCGATCCTTCGGCTTTGACCACTTCTGGGTCCGTAATGGTATCTTTGGCTTCGACTTGCAGAGACCTCAACCTTGTTGATTGCTATGCTTCTTTTTCCCTTTCTTTCTTTTATTGGGTTGTCGTGTTATCTAGGGCGATCCGATAGCATTCTCGGGATGCGTGTTGTTTCCCTCATATGCTGAATATCTCCCTGGGGTTGGGAACTTGATCATTTGGTACAAGCTGGAGGGGACTACTTTAATGGGATATATCCATAGTTGTCCTCAAGTCACATCTGTACGAGGACTCGAGGATGGATGATGCATGCTCTGCTTTAAAATCAGAGTAATGACAAGTGCATCATAGTGAGGGAAAGTCAAACCTTCGGCATCTGAATCATCAAAGATGATATTTTCTTCGAGTTCGTCATACCGTTTGTGGGTGATTGATCATTTGATTTGAGTGGCGGTGAATTTGATGTCGTTGATGGAGGCGTCGTCACTGCCACCAATAATCATGTTGATGGTGCGAGCTGGTGAGGGCAGCTTCGGTGGACTTGGGCGTTTTCAACCCCTCGCCAAGGTGTTCCTGACTTTGTTGCTGAGTAATTCTTTGAGATATCTTTAATGCATCAAGTTCTCTACTTCTAGTCTCAAAGCATGGCAATCTTCCATTTTATGTCCACATTCTTGGTGGAACTCGCAGAAGGCGTCAGACATCCTGGTGCTTGGGTCGGACCTCATCTTTGGTGGTCACTTCACCTTCGTTCCGATCTTCTTAAGTGTGTAGACCACCTTTGTAGGTGACACACAAAAGTTATGAGCAGATAGTAAGGGAGGCATACCTCGATCATTCTTGTGTGTGCCCGATCTCGGCCTATAGTGGCCGTCTTCGTGGCGGAATGAGGGGATGGATGCTCTAACATAGGGTTGGTGTTGTTCTATGCCTAGCCGTGATACTAGATGGTCTCTCCTCGCATTGTCCCTACATTCTTTTCTTGGTTCGGATTGTACCGAGATGAGTCGCCGAGTTGGCCTGTTGAGGTCTTCGTTGTCTACCCTGATCTCGACACAATAAGAATTTTGGATCTCGTCCTAAGTGGTCGGTGGGTACTTCATCAATCATCTCAATAGCTTTTTGGTTTCCCTTGAACCCTCTCTACTCAGACCGTTCTATAAGGTTGCTACGGCCATTCCTTTGGAGAAATTGGGTAGAGTCATCCTTACCTTGTTAAATGGGGCAAGGAAGTCCCTCTGTTCCTCCCCTGGGATTGATTGATGGTGAAGATGTCATTCACCCTTGTTTCAGCTTTCTTGTCTCATGCATGCGTCGTTACGAACTTGTCAGCCATCTCCTCGAATATTTCTATGGAATAGGCCGGTAGCTACAAATACCATGTCAATGCCCCTCTCGTGAGTGTTTCACCAAATTTTTTAGTAAGATGGAGGACACATACTCTTTAGCGAGGTTATTTCCTTTTACAACGGTGACGTAGTGAGTTACATAATCCTTAGGGTCGGTCGTTCCGTCGTAAATTCGTAGATATGTGGGCATCTTGAAAGTTTTTGGTATGGCATGAGGGGTCGCTTCCTCCCTATATGGCTGCTCCACGAACCTGCCAGCATATCTTTTCGAACCCGTTCCTAATAATTCTTCATTTGTTCCTTGAGTGCCTTCTTATCGTTTTCCATTTCCTCCTTTCTTTTCAACACAACAGCGAGGATGTTGTCACCTCCATTGTCGACAATTGCGTGAGTGTTACCTGAAGTAGGAGAGCTGGGTTGGTCGTCTCGTTCGTTCCTATGCTGTGTTGCATGGACCCTCGGGGTTTTTGTGGTTGTGCATGTGGCTTGTTTACTCATCACGCTGACTAGAGTGTCGGTCAACCATGCTTCGAGGAGCTTTTTCGTAGCGGGTAGTGCCCCCTCTCCTGTGGACATAGAGCCCCTATTTCCATTTAGTTTGGTTGTACTGCTGAAAGGTGTATGTGACTCCCCTTACCTAGGGGATGCCATGGGGGTCACCTCCTCATCTTGGGTGTCATATTCTTCATCGATGACATTCATAAGGTTAAGTGGGACGTTGTCCGTCACTTTTGTTCTGTTCTTATGGTTACCTGCCATGGGATCTTCGTATACACAGAGAAAAGGGATAATCTTTGCAGTTTGTTAGATTAGCAAGTCGCGTGAGTTATAGATCTGATGGAAACTAAAAACTTGACTAAAAAATCCCCACAGACGGCGCCAAACTATATGAGCCAAAATTTAGATCTAGGTTTTTATACAATCACATTTATAGTGAAAAGGGTTAATCTAAGTCAATAGATCTAGTATATTTATAAAGAATACCATACTTGTGATGTTGGATAACAATGTTTTGGAGCAATAATTGAGTAATAAATGATTCAATAATATGATAGAAAGCAATAAAAAGCCATGAGACAGCAGCTCTTTACACCACCTAACTGCATCCCCAATATATCATCATGATGCCAAGTGTCATCACCATAACATGTCAAATTTAAATTTTTAGGATAGAACTCTAACAAAAGTTCCAAAATTATTTTAAAATAGAAGACAAAAAATTAAGATAAAAAAATTAATGCCAATTTTCCCCACGTTTAAGAACAACTAATACTTCCTTCCACGTTTGTTTAACATTTTTTTTATTTATTTATTATAACTTCCAATGCAACAACAAAAAAAATTAATATTTTTTTCCACATTTTTTTGTGCTTTAGTTTGTAATTTATTTATATACTTAATATTTTTTTTTACACAAAAATAAGAAAATGGAAGAACAAATAAATCACCCAAAAATTCAACCCCACGACTGATGTCTTCCCAAACGTGTACTTGAAACAACAATTCTAACCTAGCTCTATAATTTATTCTTATCCACGTTCTCCTATGCAAATAATTATCTGTGGTTTCTTTGAAGTATCTACATTTAGCCAAGTGGCAGCCTAATAAGTCACTTGGTGTTGCTCAAGATAATTGGCAATATTAGGATAAGATAAATAAATAATAAAATAAAATTAATTAGTTTAGAATTAGTGTGTTTAATTTTCATAATATGATTGTGAAATGCGGCATTTCTAATTACATCAGAAGCGGATTGTTTTTTAATGATTTTTGTTGCTAAATTATGTGGAAGTTGGATGTAATTTTGTAACTATTAACACGAAAATCTGTAAAATTATGCAAGCGGTAAAATGCATAAAAATTAATTTAATATTTATATTTCAAAAGATAAGTAATTACCTTATCCCTAGACACCTAACCCCAAAACCAACGTCTTTTTTTTTAAAAAAAAAAAAAAAGATCTACTGCCCGTAACTCCATCACCAACATCTTCTTAATAAAAAAATCTATTATTCTCAGAAATTCTATCTGATCCAAACTATGCCAACAGATTTTAGCATTCTCACAAACGGTGACAATTGGTACAAATAATATACAAATGAAATTGTGCACCATAACAAGTTTTCTTGGTCGGCCGCCAAAATGTTCCTAAGGGATATATATCTATCAAACCATGCAACTTTTCAGCCTATTAATTATATTATTACTAATCTATTTTTATATTGTCGCCTCAATATTTATCCGTTGACAGGTTTATATAATAACATTATCTGCTATTTCATGAAGAAAACAAAAAGATGATAACTATTTTTAAATGTTTTAAATGCAAACTTTATCCTGATTTTTTTTTTCAATTATATTATTTTTCTTGAATTACAATTTTATTATTTGAAAAATTGTAAATAATAAAATTTGCATTTTATATTTAATAAAAATTCAGTGCATTTACATGTTCATAAAATAATATCATTTACATGCTTCTTGTGTGTGTCGCATTTTTCCCGCAATATTTTCTTATAAGAAAATTATATTTAATACTCTCCGCGCAACGCACAGGCATGAATACTAGTACTAGTATTACATAATACAAAGAGGGACTTCTATATGATATTTAGTTCCTTTATGATCCGCTTCGAAAAGCTTCATGATAAAAGGGGGAGGGACCTGATTATGTATATTCATTTCAAAAAAGGAGGAAGGGAGAGTGAACTTTAGTAACCATTTGTTTAACTTCAGAAAACTACTTAATGGAAACTGACACAGTCTGTTTCTTATAGTTGCTTTATCAAATCTACATCATGCCAGCATATGCTGTTGAGCCTAGAAAAGCACTGGTACTTCATCCATAAAAGCAACCCAGAAAATTTGTTACATATACTTATGCAATCCAGTTAAACAGTGAAAATGGCAAAAAGAACAATGCCTAAAAAAGTGAAACGCCAAAAAGGACCAAAAAAACTTCTTTAAATGTGTTAAAAATTCAAAACAGTAATGCAGTGTTACATTACAGTTGCCTCTTGCGTACGTCTGAGATTTACAACATTCTAAGCAACACCAGCTGCACCAAGTTAGGCTAAATCATGCAGTTGGTAATCTGCACATATAAGAGAACATGATAACTAACCGAGAATAGTATTTAAACCATGGTTAATCATCAGTTCATGCTTTCTGAAGATATAATAGGATTCATATGAGATAGATGGGGATAAGCAAGAGGGATTCCCTCTTGGCCTTCTTGTGAGGTACAACAGCATAGCTAATGGATTTTGGCACCAAATAACAGAAGGCATTCAACCATCTTGGAAGCTTCAATGCAGTCTCTGAGGCGAGTAAACCAATTGCAAATTCTATCCCTTGTTAGAAGCTATTCAGTAGATCAGGTCCCTTCAGAGTTAAAATTGAGGTGACATTTCTTCCCTCTTTCCTATTCTCTGCCTATCAAGCACAGAGCTGGCATGTACATATAGAGTTGGTCAATCCAATCTTAGCAAGTAGTTGAAGGCCATAGAATAGAAAGAAGACCACTTACTTGCGAGGTTCTTTAGCCTATCTTTTTGCTCTCTCTTCTTTCCTTGAGGCTTTGCAGCAGACCATTCAGCTGATTCAATGTGATACGAACCTCCGAACCCCCTATACATCAAAATACAAGCCTTGAGAATAAATCACAATGAAAAATAGAGAGGCAAAGTAACCAGAAAAAGAGTTTGCATCAGTAGTTGGAGAAGAACCAAAGGAGTTTAGGGCAAAGCAACAGTAGAAAGAAGAGGGAAAAACAAACAAGATATACTCAGTAAAGAAGAAGTGATTAAGTCAATTTACAAGCTTCCGTTGCATCATTCTATGCAAGATTAATATTTATTGATAGTCACACTGTATTAGCCAAACATTTAATGTTATGGCATGGGACTCAATGAAATTCACCTATTTTCTCCATGCATTTTTCATCAGTCAACCGTATTTATCTCTGAATCAAGTTAATTTCGAACATATCCCACCCAGATGATCTTTTCTGCGACAAGTCATTTAGACCTACTGCAACAGAGTGATATAATATCGGTCGATTAACCTGGTGGAGAGAATACTGCATATAACTAGCAAGAAACTTCCCCAGATAGGGTCAAGTCTTGTTTCTCTTCTACTAATTTGAAAAACCTAATGATCTGCTATTTCTGTTTTTTCCTCTGCAAAGTTACCTTTTCAACGGTTCAAGGCAGACCCTCGGCAAAAACAGTGCCACAGAGAGAGAAGAAATAAGCCTGTGAACAGAAGAAAAAACAAAGAAAATGAACAAAACATAATTCAGACCATAAAATTAAAGAACAGATTTCAATGGAAATTTGTTTTGGAAAAGCAGAGTTTGTTAAAGCTTGTCACTGGGTTTGTTGTTGTAGAGTTTGTTAAAGCTCACAGCTCATATCAATCATATTTAGCACAATAGCAATTTTTGTGCGAGCTCAAAACAATCACATTTATGAATTTTAAACAGACAGCTGCATATCCTGGATAGGTTATGTTCTAATTTTCAGCAGCTACTAGCTGAATTTTCTATACCTTTTCCTCTTCTCCCACACTTTTCACTCGGTATTAATTCTTAAGACTTTTGAGCATGAGCACATCTATATTGAAGGCAGCAGGTGCAGGCGGGGGCCCATCAACAGCTTCTAGCTCGAGGTGTGAATGCAGTTAAAAAAATCATATATATTTATCCAAAGTCCTAACCCATTGTCATAAAAAAAGTAATAATTCACTCTACACCCACTTAATCCAGGACCCAACTTTGCCGGTGCATTAGCATGGAAAGTTTATTAATCAGAATCTCTTTTTTATAGTAAGTATTCACTTTTGTGGAAAAGTTGGAAAACTTGTCTTGACTAATTCTTTCACATAGTACTGTTGGAAAATAATATGCAAGGTTTGATGATAATACGTGCATGATCTGATGAATCTAGAAGGTTCCCTATTATACAAAACAGCATCATAACTCAGACCTGTTTGTAAGTAAAGGAATCGAGCATCTTCCGTTCAATGCATTAAAAGACATTGTACACAATTGATGCCATTAAAAAACCAAGTAGGAGATAGCATCAACCAAATCATCAAGACTACCTGTTAAGTAAATGATGATTCAGGACATTCATTCTAGAGTGCGGAATGAGGGAAAATTAAATTGACTATTGAACTGTATGTATTTTGAATGACAGAACTGTTCATAAGGCCAAATCTGAATGAAGTTTTTTTCAATGAACTACATGGATTATGCAAATTTCAACTAGTATACAGATGTAGACAAACTATTGAAGCCGATGAGATTCTAAGGTCTTGTTGATATAAAAGATCTAGCAGGTCACAGACCAAATGATTCAGATTTGCAGTTGATTTCTGAATACTTGAACATGCTATGCTTCACAACTGACCTTTGAATCACGGAGAAGTGGGTTAAAACGAGGATTTAGAAAGGTTTAACCAATCAGATTAAAAAGAACAAATTGTTAATAGGAAGAGGGATGTCCAACCTTATGGTCATCTTTTCTTTAAACACTATGCTTCTATCAACAACAGACACTTGCTATTTGGTATACTCCAAGGCTTGGTTTGACTTGGAAGTACACTCCAACACTGAAACGAAGTTCATGACATTCCGCCTCTTATTCGGTGTAGCAAAGTCAATCTGTATAGCAGTCCCATCAAGATGTAAGAAGCCAGATACCACCAACTCTTCATCGAGCAGCTTGTACAAACTATTCAGTATTCACCAATAAAAGCTATGCACAAAGCCACGAACATTCAGAATCAGACCCTACAAAAGTTGCAAAAGACTATAATAATAGAAATATGGAAGAAAAAATTGCTAGTGTTATGCCTAATTCACAAACAGGCCTAGAGAACACCACCAGGCTTTATGTGCTCTCGACCACTTTAGATTCTAACTATAGCATCAAAAAATGTTTAAAGATCCACCATCAAATGGGGAAAATTCTTGATTGCAACCATTTGACTTTATTTTGAACTCTAGAGACAAGCCATAAAAGGATAAGCAAAACTATGGTCTGCTTCCAGTGACATGGTCAACTTTGTTTTCTTTCTGGATGACCTCACCCGACCAGCCTTTGAGTTTTTCTTATACCTAACTCGTTCATTGTAGGAGTATGGGGTTCAACACAAAGAAATGTGACAAGCTTATGCCTGTTATTTGCATGGCTTTCCTTGCATTGAACAGTGCATAGCTTATATTAAGCTAGTACAGCCAATCAGATCATCCCACATAAAAAGTGATGGAATATGGTTATTCACAATATGTGAGGATCCTTTTTACTAGTGGTTGACTGCTCGCTAACCAATCCTTCTTTCTATCCGGAATTTTTTGATCTTTGGTATCAGACTAGGGGTAGGCATTCGGTATTTCGGTTCGGTATTCGGTTTATCAATTGTGTATACCAAATACCGTACCAAATTATTCCGATACGGTTCGGTATTTTTTATTTTGGTTCGGTACGGTTTCGGTTTAATAATCGCTAAATAAACTTATGATGCTTGACATCTCTCTGCCCCTCTTCGTGCACAATTCTTCAATGAATTCACAATTCACTGATTCAATGAATTCACAACGATGGCAATTTGGCATTCAAACACAGAGGAAACTGTAGTACTGAAGAATTCACAATGAATTCAAAAACACAAGGAGTTATCAAAACCAATGGCCTATCTCCAGTCCGATCCTCTTGACATATTTTCACTATTCTATACTTAGTTAAATCAATGGCCTATGTTTGTTTTTCAGAAATGTAGGATCAGGGCTAGTTCAATATAATTGTGTGATCATGTGTATCCTCTTCTAAGAAGAGTCTTCTTTTTGAATGTGGCTGCTTTATATACTTCTCTTTGAAGTATATAATTATTTTTTTTTTAAAAATAAGTACAAGACTTTTATATTTCGTGTTTCATGTGTTCTTCGTGAATGTTCAAAGGGGAAAAAAGGAGGTTTCATATATTTGTGGGATATGATCAAGATGTCATTAAGAACTATACTTTAGTATTATAAATATATCATGAAATGGAATTACTTTTTTTGTTATCAGTGGTGATTAAGGGGATGTTGGTGATTTTTTTATAATATTTTGCTAGGTGAAAATGGATGAATTGTCCAACTAAAGTCTTCTAAAAAAATCGGTATTTCGGGGCTGGGCAGTGGACGTGGCAGTGGACTGGGCTGGGCTGGGCAGTGGACTGGGCAGTGGGCTGGGCGTTGGGGGCAGTAAGAAAATGTCTTTAAAAAATCGGTATTTCGGTATACCGAAATTTCAAAATTCTAATACCGAGGACCGTACCGAAAATACCGAAATTGCAATATCGAATTAGACCGAAAAATCGAAACCGAAATACCGAATTAATTCGGTCCGGTTCGGAATTCGGTTTTTTCGGATTTTATGCCCACCCCTAGTATCAGTGGAGCAAAGGAAGTGGAGTTATCGAGTGCAAACTTCTTTCCTTAGGACTTAGGACAAGGTTTCAGTTTGGTCAATAGAACTCGATTCCAACGCTTCTTTTCTTGTCCTTGTTGGGTTTAGCCAATGTAATACGAAAGATTATTTTTCTATTCGATATTTGATGCAACTATATGTTGAATCTTATCTTAGAATAGGTTCAAACTATTTATACATACATGCTTATAGGGACACTTTTTGTTTATTTCCAAAGCTTGTGTTTATTCGCCGTAGTTGAGTTTGGAACCTTTAATAAGCTGCTTTTCTTTTGGCTTTTTTAATATGGTGAACTGGGTTATGTTGGCCCATAACCACCTGGACTTTAGCTCTACCAATTCTTCTTTATTTAGCAAAGCTCATCCTAATTCCCATCAAGATTATAGGAGGTGAAATAAGATTACCTCCATGGCATCACGCAACCATACATGAAGCTGGAGTTGGGTGGATTTCTTTCCATTACTGGAAGACCTTCTCAGCCATCTAAGGTTAAGAAGATGTGAAAGCACGTCTAGCTCTATAACAACAGGGAGCAGGGACTCTCTTGTTCATCTTTTGAAGACGCGAAAAGCATTAATTTATGAATTGTCAAATTGCAGTAATTCAAAATCATTATTGGCCAAATTTTTGTGTAATATGTAGTTGGGAGTTCCCTACCGGTGATATTGTTTTCTACATTTAATGATAAAGAAATATCAGTTGATCTTCTTTTCATTCTTCTGATAGAAAAAGAACTTTATTCAGTTCACCAACGCTTGTGTTTATTCGCCATAGTTGAGTTTGGAACCTTTAATAAGCTGCTTTTCTTTTGGCTTTTTTAATATGGTGAACTGGGTTATGTTGGCCCATCACCACCTGGACTTTAGCTCTACCAATTCTTCTTTATTTAGCAAAGCTCATCCTAATTCCCATCAAGATTATAGGAGGTGAAATAGGATTACCTCCATGGCATCACGCAACCATACATGAAGCTGGAGTTGGGTGGATTTCTTTCCATTACTGGAAGACCTTCTCAGCCATCTAAGGTTAGAAGATGTGAAAGCACGTCTAGCTCTATAACAACAGGGAGCAGGAACTCTCTTGTTCATCTTTTGAAGACGCGAAAAGCATTAATTTATGAATTGTCAAATTGCAGTATTTCAAAATCATTATTGGCCAAAATTTTGTGTAATATGTAGTTGGGAGTTCCCTACCGGTGATATTGTTTTCTACAATTAATGATAAAGAAATATCAGTAACTTTATTCAGTTCACCAACGCTTGTGTTTATTCGCCATAGTTGAGTTTGGAACCTTTAATAAGCTGCTTTTCTTTTGGCTTTTTTAATATGGTGAACTGGGTTATGTTGGCCCATCACCACCTGGACTTTAGCTCTACCAATTCTTCTTTATTTAGCAAAGCTCATCCTAATTCCCATCAAGATTATAGGAGGTGAAATAGGATTACCCTCCATGGCATCACGCAACCATACATGAAGCTGGAGTTGGGTGGATTTCTTTCCATTACTGGAAGACCTTCTCAGCCATCTAATGTTAAGAAGATGTGAAAGCACGTCTAGCTCTATAACAACAGGGAGCAGGAACTCTCTTCATCTTGTGAAGATACGAAAAGCATTAATTTATGAATTGTCAAATTGCAGTATTTCAAAATCATTATTGGCCAAATTTTTGTGTAATATGTAGTTGGGAGTTCCCTACCGGTGATATTGTTTTCTACATTTAATAATAAAGAAATATCAGTTGATCTTCTTTTCATCCTTCTGATAGAAAAAGAACTTTATTCAGAGGCATTTCAAAAATTAAACAATGTGGATGGCAGGAAATGTTCAGATATCGTTGCAGTTACCAAAGTGAGTTGAGTACAGCAGAGGTTTCACACTTAACAGAGGTCTCAAACATGGAATAGGAGAAAAGGGAAACGTGAGTACCTCTGATTTACTTGAGCAGTTTCTTCACCTTCTGCAATAAGCTTAACAGAGGTTTCACACACCTTGTTTCAGTCCTCAGAGATTGATTAACCTTTTGATCTATTTGTCTTTCTCCCCACTTGTGGGACTATACTGGGTTTGTTGTTGTCCCTTCAGGTAACTTATTAACCCAGCTATTAGTCCTGTAGGTAACAGAAAGAGCTGCGTTCGAATTAGAAAGATCGTCCAAGGAAAAAAAACCTTGGCAGAGACTGAAGCTAACAAATGAAGAATATGCTAGATCATTAGAATTTTTAACCAAGGTTTTTCAGGATCAAGGAACTTTGGTCACTTTAGAGAAAGAATGCATCAAAATAGCTACTTAATTAAAACAGCTTGGTACTTCCGACAAACACAAGAAAAAATTTTCTTGGGAAGAATTGGATTGGACAGCCCACGTTAAGAAATTGATAAAGGAAAATAAAACATTCACAATCAAATGCTTACTTCAACATAGCTTGGTGATCAGCCGCAAAAACCAAGTCAAAGTTAACACAGGGTAAACATATATTTCAGACTAAGTTGAAAAAAGAAGGTAATAAAAAAAAAAAAAAATATAAGAATAACGACAACATCCACGGAGAAAAGATGAACAAAGATCGAAGTTTATACTCTGCATAACAGTGAAACGCTACTAAAGTTTGGTAAATACCTCACTACTTTGCCATGTCAGTAATATATTCATACTGAACTATCATGAATTGCATTTAGAACTTCAGTTAAGCACTATTAATCTGTTGCAGCTGTGGTTGCCTGATGGGTTAGCCAGTCAATAATCAACAATAGTCCTTACATGAGCACATTCCATGAGAGAAGTGGTGGAAGCGGTTAATGTCACGAATAACTATTTCTCGGTTTGTTACGATTGACGCCAGCTTCATAAATTGATGGCAATCTCCACAGATGCACAGATTTTTAAAGATCCTGGCAGTACTATTTCTATTGCTGCTCATGAGAGCAAAAGCTAGAGCTAGCCTTTCACTATGATGTGAAAGGTTGTCTATCTTTTCTTTGTCAGAGACATTATGAAGTGCATAGTTTGTGTTTGGAATATATCCTGCAGCAGTAATTTTTGAAGCCAGCTCCTCTAACTTTTTATGGATATCATTTAACCTAGGATGCGAAGCATCCTGAGATAAGAAGACATGGACTTGATTATCAATCTTAACCCAGCTACAACCAGGTTCCTTTTTGATACCCTGCCTGGACATTAATGCTCTAACCTTTGAAACATCAGCCCACCTCCCTTTTATAGCATATATATTGGACAACAATATATAACTTGACTCTGCTGTTGGATCAATTTCGAAAAGTATGTTTGCAGCTTTCTCAGCCAATTCCACATTTCCATGAGCTTTACAGACTCCAAGAACAGTCTCCCAGATCAAGGCATTAGGAGCAAGCTCCATATCATCAATGAAGTGTTCCATGTCATCAAATTTGCCTGCACGGCCAAGGATATCAACCATACACGCATAGTGCTCAATCGAAGGAGTGATACCAAACACAACTTTCATTGAATCAAAATGCCTTCTTCCTTCTTTGACCAGGCCCAGATGGCTGCATGCAGAAAGGACACCAATAAAGGTAATCCGATCAGGCAGAGTACCTTCACTTAACATGGTTCTAAATGCTTCCAATGCTTTGTCATCTAGCCCGTGTTGGGAGTAGGCAAATATAATTGTGTTCCACAACACTGTATCACAGGATTCCACGCTCTTAAATAGAGACTCAGCACTGTTGATACACCCACATTTTGCGTACATGTCAATTAATGCACTAGCCACATACATATCATTGAACTGCCCAGACTTTATTACCAAGGAATGCAACTGCTGCCCATTGTCTAGGCTCGCTATACCAGAACAACCTCTCAGACAGCTAGCAAGAGTGAACTCATTGGGTTTAATAGCTTCCCTTTGCATCTGATTGAAGCATCGAAAAGCCTTTTCTCCTTGATCAGACTGCACATAACCTGTAATGACAACTGTCCAAGTGAAGATGTCTTTTTCACTCAATCTGTAAAAGATCACTTCTGCATCATCTAAATGCCCACACTTGGCATACATATCAATCAGAGCAGTTCCTACATATTTATTGCCACCAAGGTTAGCTTTAACTACATGGGCATGCACTTGTTTCCCCAGAGTGGCATCTAAAAGGCTTGCACAAGATCTCAAATTGCTGATGAACGTGTACATATTTGGCCTCAAACCTTCCACAAGCAAGTTCCTGAAGATTCTAGGTCCTTCATAAGAAGTTTCATTATCGTGGAACCCAGACAAAAGGGAGTTCCACGAAATTATATCCCCATTACTCGTAGAAGAAAATACACGATGCCCATCAAAAGCAGACCCAAATTTCATGTACATTGCAATCAATGCATTACTGACACACTCTTCTGAGTCGAAACCAAATTTGTAAACACAAGCATGGATACTTTTGCAACAAATTAAGTCCACTGAATCAGCCGCTGCACTAATAAGACTAGCTAGTGTAAACTGATTAGGCCTCAAACCTGAATGTCTCATCAAGCAAAAAAGCTGAACAGCTTCCCTCTTCTGTCCTTGCTGATCAAGACCGCTGATCATTGCAGTCCATGCCACAGTGTCAGGATTTTTAGTCCTCAAAAACACTTTCAGGGCATCATCTTGCAGACCACATTTGTTATACATATCTACAAGACTGCAGCTTGTAAAATCATCAAGTTCACACCCAATTTTGACCAACAACGAATGGATAACTCGGCCAGCTCTCAGATTGGGTGAACTGGCACACCCCTTCAAAATAGTAGACAGAGTATAATTATTAAACCTCATCTCTGAATCTGACATCTTCGAGAACAATCTCAAAGCCTCCTCTCCTTGACCAGCCTGCACATACCCGTTAAGTAAAGCATTCCACGACACCGAATTCTGCTCGGGCATGGAAAAGAACACATTAACAGCAGATTCCAATTCACAACATTTAGCATACAAATCAACAAGAGCAGAACCAACATAAATATCCGAAAAGCCAGCAACTTTAACAACCTCGGCATGTAGTTGTTTGCCAAACTCCAAATCTAAACACATCGAACAACCCTTTAAAACTGTCGCCAAAGTGAACTCGTTAGGCCTAACATTTTCTCCCCTCATATCACGAAATAAGCAAATACCTTTACTGCCATACCCTTGAGCTATAAACCCTGCTATCAGTGCTGTCCAAGAGACAACATCTCTCTCTGGAATTAAATCAAACACATTGCCCGCCATTGCTAAATCACCACATTTCGAATAAAAATTAATCAAAGAAACCCATAAATGTGAATCGGTTTCTATGCAACTCCTAATGATTTCACCATGCAAAGCTTTACCTTCCTTCAAACATAACTTAGTAGCATAATCTTTGAGCATTTCAGAGTACCATTTAACCCCCTTTTTCTTGTTCAGAATCAAAAATCTCTCCTTAGCACCATATTTCACCTCCTTAATCAACCTTTTAGACCCAAAAGAATATTGAAGTTTTGGGTTTTCAACTGATGAGGAGTTGGGTTCAATTGTTTGTAGAGCAGCGCATGAGAAACAGCTAAAGTGAACAGAGGGAAAGAGGGAAATATTACCCAGTTGAGGTTTATCGGGGCATAATATCAAACAGGTTTTAGGCACTGGATAAAGGCTCGAAAAGATGCCTCGAAATATTGGTGGCGGATTACGCATGTGTGCGGCTAGAAAATCGAGTTCCATGAAAAATAAGAAGCAACAGCTTCAATGAGGAGCTAGCAGGATGAAACTCTGCATAGCAAAACTCTGCTCGCCGGAGCGAAGGTCCGAAGGATAAGTTGTGTTTGATTTTTCCCTCTTTGACAGGTTGTGTTAAACAACAACAAACAACATAGCCAGTATTAACTAGTGGAGTAGTGCTATTTTTCCATGTAAAAGAATTGAAATTATTGGAGTAAGTTTTATGCACATTAGGGCATTAAACCTTGATTGGGATAATAACACTCTTGGTCCTTAATTATAATTAGCATATCTTAGTATTAGTCCTTGTAATATATGGCTAAGCATAGGTACTTTTCAATTTAGTACTATATAATGTAATAAGATATATAATTTGTGAAAATACGCAAGCAGAAGACCAATAGTGCATATCTTAATTAATTAAATGTTAAATATGCTTAGTCAAATATTATTGTTACATTCCATGTTTTCGTACGTAAGGGTACGTCGTAAGCCAATTGATGTAAGCTCGGAAATAAGATCATTTTTGAAAGTACATAACGTAAGTTCATCATGTTATCTTGGAGGTTACAAATCTTTAAGATCATGAATAACAAGTACCAAAAGGGTTGAAAAGCTTAGACGCTAAACGAATTGAAGAAAATAAGTTTCGTCGAAAGTCGACAAGTTTGGAATGTTATAACACATACTTTTGGGGTGAGACTAGGGTGATTAAAATGATGAGGAGGTTAAGTTATGAGTTATTTTAGTCGTATGATAGTCGTGTGTTATGTTTTAAGTCAAGTGAGTTGTGGAACAAAAGTTGGCAAAGGTCATCACAAGTTACATTCATAATGTGCTGAAAATTAGGTCAAATGTGACTGAGCTTTTCTCCCAATATACTTAGAATTAATGGGTGATATACCTACCAAATTGAAGATATACGAGTCTAATTTCTAACGTATTAAACCGTTTGTCAATACGATATTGGAGTAGAGAGATATTCGCGTTTTTGTGAGACTGCGCCAAGCAGCTCCCTATGGGACCCACATAGGCGATTTAGATATATGGATATATATAAGAAGCCTCAACCCCGTTTTAACTCATGCTTTTATAGTATATTCAGACCCTAGACACCTAAAAACACTCTCTCAAGGTTCTCTCATGATCCAAGACCCAAACAAAGGGCAAACAACACAAATCAAGTGTCAGAAATCCCGCCGCGCTAGTAAGTTTCTTGTTCTTCTTGTTGTTGCTGATTTTTAGGTGGTTCCAACTCGTGTGGGAGGTTGTTTTAAGTGGTTTAGGTTCTGTAAAATACTTCCCCATGGTTTTTATATCAGCCCTAGGTTATTTCAAGTCTTGCAAATGGATTACACCATATTTCAACATCAAAAGTTAGTTCTAGTGAAGAACAACATCTCTTTGAGGTTGTGTTGTCATTAAGGATAGTTGTGAGATGTGTTTGGCTGGATTTTCACGTGGTTGTTGCTGGTTTAGGCATGTATAATACTCTACTACATGCTCTTGAAGTTGTTTGTATGTTGGTTGCATTATTTGAGCAAGATACTACAAGATAATACTTGGATTAGCTTAAGTCACTTCTATGGTATTGTATTGCCATTGAGGGCTGTTATAAGCTAAATATAACTTGAATTTTAACTTGAAGCTACTGTAGGAGGTATGTATATTGTGTTCTTACATGTGCCTAAGGTTATCTTGATGTTGATTAAGTTAAATGGATGGAATAGACATGAACTAGTGAATAAAGTTGCTAATTGAGGATAGTTGAAGTTGTGGATTGTTTTCGTTGATATAATATATGGTATAAGGCTGGAATCATTGATTAATGACTTCATTATCATGTTAATAATACTGTTAAGGTGAATTAAGAAGTCTATAAGAGGCGATATGAGGTATACAGATACCAATCGGAGCTTGACGCTCGTCTTGAAGGAGTTGTGACTTGTTGTTGCTATATGGTGTCTTGTTATTGATATTTATATGTTACTGGATTTCTCTGGTTGTTGTTATTGTTGGTATATAGTATTGGAGGGGCCCTTGTTATAGGGGATATGCTTCCCAAATTTACATAAACGAGCTATTAGTTTAAGTTGCGGACTTAGCCTTTATTCAACACTGATTTTGAATCTCTATATGCTATGGTAGATTGAGTTGAGTTGTTTGAAGAATAGCTTGGAATGTATTAAGGACTCAAAGGAGTCAAGGTATGTTAAGACACTTCCTTTTTTCTTTTGGCATGATCTAAAGTGAAATTAATAAGCTATTTTATAACGGATCGACTCCTAGCAACTAAGGTTGTCCATGTTGTTCTTTCCTTATAAAGTTATTCTAAGCAAGTGTGTATGATCCTTGAATCCTACTAAGGTTCATATTGAGGGTATGGATGTCCATAATCTTAATCGAAGGTGCAATGACCTTAAGTCATTCCGAAAAGTTTAGAACGTGATTCCATGAGTCTAGCATGCATTATATATAGTATCTATTTTACTCTACCGAGCCACGCTATAGTCGGTCGGGTACGGAACCTATTGTGCAACCATTGATCAGTTGGGTTTACCGAGCTCCACATGGCCTGGGTACGATTCTACCGAGCCTTATGATGGCCGGGTACGTTTTTACTAAGTCCTCTTTGAGGTCGGGTACGATATGATGATGATGATGCCCACAGAGGCGTATGTTTTTAAAAGTTTATGTATATATATGTATTATGCATTTCATGTCAGTAGCCCCCAGAGGCACTTAGATGTTACAAGTTGAATCTCTCTATCTCTTCTTACATTATTGTTCTTGTTTATGTTTTCCTGCCTTACATACTCGGTACTTTATTCGTACTGACATCCCTTTTCCTCGGGACGCTTCGTTTCATGCACGCAGGTCCCGATAGACAGGTTGACATTCCTCTTAGTAGGCTATCAGCTCAGCGGAAGGTGTTGGTGCACTCCACTTGCTCCGGAGTTGCCTATTTGGTCAGTATGATTTCGACATGTATTGATTGGTATGGAGGGGCCCTATCCCGACCTTTATGATGTGTATGTACTCTTAGAGGCTTGTAGACAGATGTCATGTATATGAAAGATTGTATTGCCTTGTCGGCCTATGTTCAGTGTACGAGTGTTCATTTTGGTCTTATAGGACCGTATGTCACATGTATAAGTTTGTATTACATGTTGGGTCGTCCTATGTCAAGTATTCCCTTATGTTTTATTCTGGTTATATCATGACGACCCTTCCGGCTCATTTACCCATGATGGTATGATATGAAAGATATGTTACGTTGGTACTCGGTTGGGTAAGGCATCGAGTGCTCGTTGCGGCTCTCCGATTTGGGTCGTGACAATTATAATATCCAACAACTAGAATTTATCTATATTTGAAGGACTAAAAATGATATTTTTCCTTTGTTATATTTTTGAAAAAATATTTATATATTTACAATTACGTAGAAACCTTCTAACCATGAATGCTGAAAAAACCAAACATAATTAATGTAATGATGCAAAATACTTGCTCCATCCAGTATAATGCATTTTCAGGAGGAGTTGATAGTTGGGAACTAAATTCCTTCGGATGTGGAGAATATGTGACGCTTGCTCTGAATTTTGGTAAACCAAATGGTCGCTTCTCTAATTGAAATATCGTGCCTCTTCTTTGTTGCCTAGGTTACCCCTTCGAAATACCCTATAAGAAATTTTTTCTACTCCCCAATCTTTACTTTACGCCATGCTAACTCCTATTTCATCATAAGCGTGGAATTAGACCAAGGAAAATCTCTATAGGAACTAGTCCTTATATTTCACATAAGTGCTTTATTACTTAATTATGACTAATTATTTTTAGTGTAATTTGGTGCATTCACGGATTCCAGCTAACGCTTTTTTGGTGATACATTTATTTTGTAAAAGTCCAACTTGTTGATGGTATGCTAGAAATATGGGTTTTTGGCTACATTTCACCTTATAATGAATATACTTTAATTGTGTTAGTGCAAAAATTTGAGAATTACATGCTTATGTCATGACCCAAAAATTCACCAAAGATCGTGATGGCGCCTAACCTGCTTGCTATGCAAGCCAACAATAATAAAATCTAAATTTTATGTCATTAATAGAGATATGATAAGGATAATAATGCGGAATAAGTCTCAAAACTAATATCATAAATACAAATGTCTAAGATAGGGTCCAGAACGCGACCACAACTGTCTAACAATGCCCAAACTCTATGTCACAATGTCACAAGCATCTAACAAGAGTAAACAGTCTAAACCGAACAAGAGCATCTGTTTGAAAGAAAATAAATAGACAGAAATAGCTGAGTAGGGAAAGGCACTCCATATTATACGAGTCGGATCAGGTAAAACAGTTTACCACGAAGTCTCCAAATAAATCTCCTACTATGCTGGAGGAATACCACTAATACCAGCCTCAAAATCGACACAAAAATATGCAAAAACGTATTATGAGTACAAAAATAACAGTACTTAGTATCTAGCCTCGAAGAAGTAGTGGCAAAGGGTCAACTCTAACACTCATTAGCAGTCCAAAAAATCAGATGAAACCATAAATAAGATACGAAATAATGCATGTCATTATCAAATGAGTATGAAAGCTCAAGACATGGTTCATACAAAGTTAAAGCATGCTTTATAAATAAAGGAGATCAAATAAGATATCAACACCTCAATCCTCATATAAAAACATGATACATGAGTCAAGATACATAAATATGCATGCTCAAGATTAATTCTTAATACCCCACAACACATATTCATGTGGCTGACACAGGCCACCTGTCCAAATTAAGCACCAAACCCAAGTGCCTACGCTCGCAGGGCCAAAAGTAACATAGGTAATTACCCGACTCCGGATGGATCATTTCATAATCAATGATCAATTACCAATAATCAAGATCCTCTTATAGTGTCCGTAGTGCCAAAATTCTCAACTTATCACAATAACTAACTCTCCAATTATGCATATGTGTATGAGATGATATAATAAAGAAGCACCAGATATAACAATAGAGATGCAGATGAAAGCTCATATGGATAAAAGATGGCTATGGCTAATCATCTAATTCAATTTATTATAACAATTCAATGAGCAATTTCAACATTCATGATTCAAACCATAATATTTAACATGAGTGAATTAAGCCATTTAACCACCAAATCATGAGTCAAATAAGAAATTATATGGCTACAAATTTATCA